CCCCTTTTCCCTCCCCCCCCCCCAACATTTAAGGTCGTGGCGCTGGAGGGGACCAACAGCACCGGGAGGATGATGGTGGTCTCCAAGCTCTACGAGGTGACTTTGGCCCCACTGATGGGTTTGGGGGCTGATTTCTTTTTTTGGGGTGAAAAAGGAGGATTTTGAGGCTATTTCTGGTTTATTTGCAGGGGGTGCCACTTCCCTTCCACACCCCCACAGAGCCGGCCCCAGGTGAGCTTTCCCCGCGGAGGTTTAAAGCCGGGAGGGGTTAAACCTTCCTGTCAGGCCAGAGGGTCCCCAAAACCTCTCTTTTTGTCCCCAAAACCTCTCTTTTTGTCCCCAAAACCCTTCCCTTCTGTCCCCACAGAGCAGAGGATGGTGTTGGTGGCCTGTGGACCCTACACCACCTCCGACAGCATCACCTACGAGCCCCTCACCGACCTCCTGGAGGTCATCGCCCGCGACCGCCCCGACGTCTGCATCCTGGTGAGGGGGGGGGTAATGAATGTAAATAATTTACTAATTATTTACATTCATTAAACCAATTAAATATCCTAAAACAAGATACCACAGCAGGAAAGTGCAGTCAAGGTTTCAAAACCTGAAAAATCGGCGTAAAAAAGCGCCGTGTGGGGAGAGAGGCAGCTCGGGCGTGAGCTCAAACCACCTGTTTTTCATCCCAAAGTGCCAAAACGTCCATTTTTTTACCCTAAAATGACAAAAAAAGCCCAGTTTTTAGAGCGAATCGTGCCCTTTGAGCACCCCAGGAGCCAGATCCTGGTTTCCTGCTGCTTTGATCGGTCTCCCCTTTTGCCCCGACCGTTTTGGGGTTGTGGGATAAAATTTGAGCTTCATTAATAAGAATAATTTTTTAAAATTTACCTTTTTTGGGGGGTTTAACACAATTAATTTGGGTTTTGGGGCTGGTGACACCTGGGGATGCCCCGGATTGTGGTTTTCTCTGATTTTTTTCATCGTTTCTTCGCAGTTTGGGCCGTTCCTGGATGCCAAGCACGAGCAAGTGGAGGTGAGGAAGACTCCGGGGCACCCATGGGTGCCCCCCTCCCCCAGGACCTCCATGGGATGTTCTAAAAGCTTGATTTTTTCCCCCCAAAATTCCTCCATCCGTGTGGATTTTGGGGTTGATCCGTGGGGCCGGGCTCCGGAAGGACAAAGCGGCCGCGGGAGGTTGGGGGGGAGATGTCCCAAAAAAAAAGTCCTCAAATTCCTCAATTTGAGGGGGGAATTCCTCAAATCTCCTCGTTTTCCCTCAATTTTTAGAACTGCCAGCTCCTGGGCTCCTTCGCCGATGTCTTCAAGCTCTGCCTGAAGATGATCATCGAAGGGACACGAAGGTAGGTAGCTCCTCCTTTCCACATGTCACTTTTTGCCCAAAAACTCCTTTTTTATCACCAAACAGGAGGTTTCCACCGATTCCCAGGCGGGAAACAGGCAGCAGAGGGAGAAAAATCATGAGATTTTGGTTAAAAGCCTCGTTAACGGGCTCTGAAATGGAGGAGGGGGGCGGCCAGTTGGAGCCCCAGGGGAGAAACACCTTTCCCACAAAAGCAAAGTGGGTTTTGGGGGGATTTTAACAGATTTTGGGGCTTTTCACTTCCAGAATGCCCCAAAATGGTCTATTTTTGAGGGGGTCTGGCTGTAATTTCCTCGGAGAAGTGCTGGTTGTGGCTGATGAGCTGTTCCTCGGCTTCACCTGTAATTAATCACCTCGTTTTTTCCCTCTTTTTCCAACCTCATTGACTCTCAGCTCATTTTTGTCCCTAAATTCCCTCTTTTTCCCTTTTTTTCCCAGTTCTTGCCTCATCATTCTCCCTAAACTGCCTGTTTTTTCCCTCTTTTTCTTTTTTTGACAGCTCTGGGTTCATCTTTATCCCTAAACTGCCTGGTTTTCCTTCTTTTTGTCCAACGCCGTCAACTCGCAGCTCGTGGTTGTCCCCAAATTCCCTGGTTTTCCCTTTTTCCCCAGTTTCTTGCATCATTGTCCCTAAATCCCCTCTTTTTCCCCCGTTTTTTCCCCTGGCAGCACGGGGTCCCAGCTGGTCCTGGTCCCCTCCCTGCGCGACGTCCACCACGACTTCGTTTACCCGCAGCCGCCCTTCTCCTGCCCCGACCTGCCCCGGGACGACAAAGCGGTAATAAACCTCCTTTTTACCCCAAAAAACACCCATGGCAACATTTTTTGGGGGTGTTGGGGTGGGTTTTGGGGTGGATTTGGGACTTTTAGGGCTGGTTGAGGGGTGTTTTAAGGAAAGCTCAGGGTGGTTGTGAGCATTTTAGGGCAAGTTTGGGGTATTTGAGGGAAGCTCAGGGCGGTTGTGACCATTTTAGGGTGGATTTGGGGCCATTTAAGGCAGATTTGGGGTATTTGAGGAAACCCCAGGGTGACTGCAGTGTTTTGGAGATGGTTTTGGGGTAGGTTTTGGGGGTTTTGGGATTGGTTTAGGGGTGTTTACAGAAAGCTCAGGGTGGTTGTGAGCATTTTAGGGCAGGTTTGGGGGCCATTTAGGGCAGATTTGGGGTATTTGAGGAAAGCTCAGGGTGGTTGTGAGCGTTTTAGGGCAGATTTGGGGCCATTTAGGGCAGATTTGGGGTATTTGAGGAAAGCTCAGGGTGGTTGTGACCGTTTTAGGGCAGGTTTGGGTATTTGAGGAAACCCCAGGGTGACTGCAGTGTTTTTGGAGCCGGTTTAGGGGTATTTTGGGGTCGGTTTGGGGTGTTTTGGGATTGGTTTCGGGGTGTTTAAGGAAAGCTCAGGGTGGTTGTGAGCATTTTAGGGCAGATTTGGGGCCATTTAGGGCAGATTTGGGGCATTTGAGGAAAGCTCAGGGTGGTTGTGACCGTTTTAGGGCAGATTTGGGGTATTTGAGGAAAGCCCAGGGTGACTGCAGTGTTTTGGGGGTATTTTGGGGTCGGTTTGGGGTGTTTTGGGATTGGTTTAGGGGTGTTTTGGGGTCGGTTTGGGGTGTTTTGGGATTGGTTTAGGGGTGTTTAAGGAAAGGCAAAATGCAATTGCGACTGTTTTAGGGCAGATTTGGGGAAATCCCAGCCTGATTCCAGTGTTTTGGAACCAGCTTTGGGGGGTATTTTGGGGTGGATTTGGGGCGTTTAAGGAAAGCTCATGGTGAGCTTTGACCATAATGGTGATTGTGACCATTTTAGGGCAAGTTTGGGGTGATTTGGGGCAGATCTGGGGCGATTTAGGGCAGATTGGGGGTATTTGAGGAAATCCCAATGCGACTGCAGCGTTTTGGGTACAGGTTTTGGGGGGCATTTTAGGCCAGGTTTGGGACAATTATGGAAAGCTGAGCACCTTGGGGTTGTTTTTGGGCACTCGGGGTCGTTTTGGGGCACTTTGGGGTCGTTTGGGGGCACTTTCTGGTCGTTTTAGGGCGCTTGGGGGTGTTTTAGGCCACTTTGGGGTTGTTTTAGGGCACTTTCTGGTCGTTTTGGGGCACTCGGGGGTGTTTTGGGGGCACTTTCTGGTCGTTTTGGGGCACTTTGAGGTCATTTTAGGGCACTCGGGGGTGTTTTGGGGACATTTTCTGGTCATTTTGGGGCACTCGGGGGTGTTTTGGGGACATTTTCTGGTCATTTTGGGGCACTCGGGGGTGTTTTGGGGGCACTTTGGGGTCATTTTGGGGCACTCGGGGGTGTTTTGGGGGCACTTTGGGGTCATTTTGGGGCACTCGGGGGTCGTTTTAGGGCACTCGGGGGTGTTTTGGGGGCATTTGCTGGTG